GGGGGAGATTAGGCGAGGGGTCTTTCGCCTCCCCCCTCCTCTCCCGCTCCTCTCCACCTCTCTCTCCCCAGGAACGCCTCACTCCCCGCACCCCCTCGCTCTCCCTCCCCTCAAAGAATCTGCCCTGGATCCTCCTATGGTGGGGTTGCAAGTGGGATGAAAACATTCTTGTTGAATTTTAGCTTCCTAGCTTTCATGGTTCCCGAGACAATTTTGCCACCAAAACTTTCACGGGGCCGTACGTGATAACCAAGTGTACGGGAAAGTCGAATTTAAATTTTCTAGGTCGAACGTGGCAGAGGACACACCTACAAATTTTCAGCTCATTAAGTTGCGTGGTTCTCGAGATAATGTTTTTACCCACTAAAACTTTTGCAGAGCCGTACGTGTTACCCGCAGGTACGGGGAGACTGAATTTAAATTTGCAGAGTTACACGTGGGCAGGAGACATTCCTCTAAATTTTCAGCTTCCTAGATTTTTTGGTTCCCGAGTTGAAAGCGCGGAACAAAATTTCGAACACACACACACACACAGACAACCCCGTGACAATATGCGTTTTGTACTGCTGTTACACAGCACAAAACGTATAAAAACCGCCGTCACCTTGCTTGTAAGTTTTTTTCGAAAATAAAATAAATTACGGACGAGGACCTGCGTCGCCATGCTTTTTTGCACTAAGCTAGTACACATTCCTGGTTGGCAGTTAGCTGTTGCGCGTGGGAATCCACTGTAATGTTCTTTTAATCGATTCAGCGCATCCAGAGCATCAGAATTTCTAATTCACGACTTGCTTTATTTTGAACTGTTGATACAAGCTTCTGTCTGAACTATGGTTATAGATGAAATAATAGTATGCTTTGAAAGCTAATTTTATTCTGTTTAATTTAAGGCATGAATGAAACAAAGATGTTGTTGAAAAATATTATCGTACATATAATTTATCGTACACATATTACTAAAATTCCAGGATTTCGGCTTTCTAAGCTTATTGCTACCTGAAGTAACAAAACTGACTGGAATGTGAATTGAACGCTGCAGAATGAGTTTAGCTGAACAACATATGGTATGCGTCCTTTCAGTTTACGAAAAACGATCGAGGTGTAAATTTACTACTGCCCGATCTGTGCATCCATAAGCTTGTTCTGCCCCAGTAGCAAGAATAGGGCATGAATGAAACAAAAATGTTGTTGAGAAATATTCAAACGCGGAGTGCCCGCATGAGCTGCCCAGATTACCGGTAGTTGGACGTGCTATGAGTAGTGCGAACAAACCCCACCTCAATGTGCCAGTTTGTTATAAACAGAAAATTGTGAAGCGAATAAGTG